TCGGGTCTGTCCGCCGGCAGTACCGCTGCAGGACGCAGCGCTAACAGCTGATCCTTACTGTAAACAAAGGATCTCTGCTCTGGGTCCCCAGACACGGGTGAAAAAAGTAGAAATAAACTGAGAGAAACGACCAGAACTAGCACAAAACGGTAGAACATGGTTGCAGAGTCTAATTACTAATACGTTAGTTATAAAAAAAATTACGGGAAAAAAGATAAGAAAGAAAGAAACTCAGAATGAGCAGAGCTGCTGTAACAGGCTGCCGCACACGGGGGGCGCCGGAAGTGAATACATTTCCTGTTCCCACTAGGTGGCGCTGTCCTTGATGTCAAATGTGACAGTTGAAATATGTTCAGGGGTGGAGGCTCATATGTGTGCTCTTTGGTCCAGATCGGACAATGTATGACAGAATGAGAGGCTATAAGATTTTCATGGCGAGTCATCGAAATTCGCCGTGGCGCCACGGCCTCACCATATCACGAAAACTCAAAAGCTCCGCAATTTAACATGGCCCAGGTGTGTAGTTGACACTGACCAAAGATGAAGCTTATACGACCTAATCCCAAGGAGGAGTTCGAAAAAGTTCGAGGCATGGAAATGGCAAAATTGGAGCCAAAATGTCACCTTCACGTCCAAATGCCGGACTTCCTGTTGGGTTTGCGTCAATGTGCCCACAGAATTTTTTGTTCGTCTTGGCATGGTACACAGGTGTGTCAAATTTCATACATGTAGCTGAAACGATGTGGTCGTAGGGCTGCATTTAACAAGGCATAGGTGGCGCTGTAGAGCCATTTCCCAGTGCTCATATGTAAAACCATTAAAATACAAAATTTTTCACCAGACCTGGCATGTGTGCAAAATTTCATGAGTTTTTGAGCATGTTTAGGCCCTCAAAAAGGCCCTTGTTTTGCCTGAATAATAATAATAAGAAGAAGAAACGGAGCAGATACAAAAGGGCCTTCGCACTTTCGGTGCTCGGGCCCTAATAATAATGTAGACAGACAGAAATCAACAAAAAAAAACAGCAAAGAAAAAGCCCACAACTGTGTTTGCACATATTAAAATTAAATGTTAATTATTATTATTATTATTTACTAGTCTTCAAAATAGTTACTTCTAATTACGTCTTTACCATTTGTTTCATGAATTGGCAACACCAAATAATAAATAAAAAAGAAGCCAAAATTGTTTTAATATGTTTTGATTAGTTTGTTGATAAAATGTTCAATCTCTAAAATCCACCACTTCCTTTCACAATTTCTTGATTAGATTTTTTCCAACCAAATATTAAAAACCCATTTAATACGAAGAAAGAGAGAAAAAAATAGAAAAACTTATTTTCTAAGTAAATAATTTTTCTCTTTTTTGAATAATAATGACTCACTGCTGCTTTACTTGCTACCTACCGTGGAGCGCAGCAACACCACTTGGGCATCACGGGCTGTGGTACGAGTGCAGGTGGACTTGACGCACCATTCTGGCATCCAGTAGAGCACCAGGAGAAGGAAGCCCCCTGTACACAGCACCCCGAGGCCCACCAGGGCCAGCCGCCAACGACACAGACGGTAGCCCTGCAGCTCCTTAACAAAAAAAAAAGAGAAAACAGGAGCACAGTATGGCACGTTAGGTAACACAGTATGTAACTTTCTGGTAGTCCCACAGGAGTTAGCAGTGAAGACAAAGTAAGCGTAGCGGTCATCACTGTAGACTGGACCGCAGGTGGGGTCGAGCAGCGTGAGCTCACTGGGGTTCAGGCTGGGAACAGACTCCAGTTTCACAGCCAGAGTGGTTATGGTACCATTAGGGAAACACTCAGTAAGCGGTGAGAAGAAATTGCAAGCCATCGAGAAGTAACTGATGGGCACATTAGATTCTGGATCCTTCAGGATCACGTTAATTCTGGTCATTTTTTCAATATGCGTATATGTGAAATGAAAAATACCATCTCCTCCTCTTCCCCCTTGTTGACAATCTTGAGGTCTTCCTTCTCCATGCTGCAGAACAGTTTGCCAAGCCCCTTCCTTAGTCACTGCAAACAGATCAGACAAAATGTCAACGGTGAACAGTGCGGGAAACATTTAATGCTGCGCTTACACTGTGCGATTTTTGGCCCATTTTGAGCCGATTTTTGAGTCGTGCATCGTGTAGTATACGTGGGGTAACGAGACGCGATTAACACCTCACGACCGATCATCAATCGCTTGGTCGGGAGGATTTCAAACAGGTTTGAAATCCTCGCGACCGTCGTGAGGGTGTCACCGCAGTTTCTCACACTGCGCACG